ACCACATAAACAGAATTCAAAATAAAAAATATATAGTTACCTCGATAGATGTAAAAAGAAGCATTAGATAAAATACAGCATCTCTCATGATAAAAATTGTCAACAAACAAGGCATGAGAAGAAACATACTTCAAAATAATAAAACTATATATGACAAACCCATTGGCATGATAGTCAATGAAGGAAGAGTTGAAAACATTCCCCGTAAGAATTGAAACAAAACTGGCCGGGCGCGGTGGCTCAAGCCTGTAATCCCAGTACTTTGGGAGGCCGAGGCGGGTGGATCACGAGGTATCGAGACCATCCTGGTCTACATGGTGAAACCCCGTCTCTACTAAAAATACAAAAAATTAGCTGGGTATGGTGGCGCGTGCCTGTAATCCCAGCTACTCAGGAGGCTGAGGCAGGAGAATTGCCTGAACCCAGGAGGCGGAGGTTGCGGTGAGCCGAGATCGTGCCATTGCACTCCAGCCTGGGTAACAAGAGCGAAACTCCGTCTCAAAAAAAAAAAAAAAAAAAAAGAATTGAAACAAAACAAGGATGCCCATTTTTACCACTATGATAGAATTGGAAGTCCTAGCCAGAGCAATCAGGGAAGAAAAAGAAATAAAAGGCATCAAAATTGGAAAATAAAAAGTGAAGTTATTTGTGTTCATTGATGACATGGTCTTATTATGCTTAGAAAACCCTCAAAACTCCTCCAAAAGTCTACTAGATTTAATCAACAATGTCAGTAAAGTTGCAGGATACAAAATGAAAACACAGAAATCAGTAGCTATTCCATACACCAATAACATTGAAACTGAAAATGAAATCAAGAACTCAATTCCAGCTACAATTTCTACAAGAAAAAAAATCTAGGAATACATTTAACCAAGGTGGTGAAAGATCTCTACAGAGGGAATTACAAAACACTGCTAAAAGAAATCATAAATGACACAAACAATAGGAAATACGTCCCATGCTCATTAATTGGAAAAATCAGTATCACGATATGACCACGCTGCCCAAAGCAATCTACAGATTCAACGTTATTCCTATCAAATAACATATATCACTTTTCACAGCATTAGAAAAAACAATCCTTATATTCATATGGGACCAAAAACAAGCCAGAATAGCCAGAGCAATTGTAAGGAAAAAGGACAAAAGTGGAGACATCACATTGCCTGACTTCAAGTTGTACTACAAGGCTAATAGAAACCAAAACAGCATGATACTGGTATGAAAATAGACACACATCACTGGAACAGAATAGGTATTATAGAAATAAAACCTCATATCTAGAACTAATTGATCTTGAAAAAAATATATAGTAAAAAAGGACACCCTTATTCAACAAATGCTGCTGGCAAAAATGGAGAGCTACATGGAGAAGAATGAAACTGGACCCATGTCTCTCACCGTATTCAACAAGTAACTAAACATGGATGAAAGACTTAAATTTAAGTCTGTAAAAAATAATTCTAGAAGAAAATCCAGTAAATTCTCTTCACAACATTGGCCTAGGCAAATAATTTATGACAAAATCCTTTAAAGAAAATGCAACTAAAACAAAAAACAAAAAGCAGACATATGGGACTTAATAAAAGTAAAAAATTGCAAACAGAAAAATAAATAACCAACAGAGTAAACAGAAACCTTACAGAATAGAAAAATATATTTCTACATTATGAAACTGGACATTTTAGATAATATAACAACTATGTCATCAGAGTCTTTCATCGTTAAAGAAAACTAAATATGGCCTAAAAGGATTCTGTACTTCTATATTTAAATCCTTGGGGATAAACTGCAATTTAGCTTTAATAGTCAGACACATTTGAATACCTAATAATATGCACCTGTAACAACGGCCGAGTGTTGGCCAATCACCGTGGCCATATTTCAACCACAGCTGAATGTTCAAACTGCATTTAAATAAGGCAAAGGCCAACCTGTAACCAATCTTGCTGTTTCTGTACCTCACTTATGAATCTTGTATGTCACTTTACTTTCTGTCTATAAATTTGTTCTGACCACGAGGCATCCCAGAAGCCTCTGTGAATCTGCTGTGATTTTGGGGGCTGCCCAATTTGCAAATCATTCATTGCTAATTAAACTCCATCAAATTATTTCTGAAGTTTGTATTTTATCAGATGGTGTCAGAAGTGGGAACTGGAGTGTCTAGTCACCCTACGAGTGCTACGTGAACATACGAGGTACCCGCAGGACTCACTTGTGTTCATTAATTTCTCACAGCCACTGTGGATCACAGGTAAGCTCCCTCAGATTTCCAAGCTCCACAGATTTGTGTTTTTAGCTCAACAAGTTTATTTTAGCAAATGTCTGATCCAAACTGTGTTTGGAGTTGCAACAGAAACTGGATTGGGTCCAAGAATGGAATTGATCCAGGAATGAACTGGCTTGGATCCAGTTAGACTCCTCTTACATATGATTGGGTGAGAAAGAAACTGGTTGTGAGTAGTCATATTCCAGGGGTTATAAAATTTGTCTTTTGAAAATTCCCAGGGATTTTTATGTTTTACCCCTTTGATTTTTCTTGCATTCTGAGGTATGAAAAATCATTGGCTAAGTTAATCAAGAGAATCTAAAAGTGAAGCCAATATTTTAGGTAAAAATGAGATCCTTAGTTTCTGGAAAACTGAGTTCCTTCCGGCTTATACCCTAGGCCTGGGAGGCAGCAAAGTCTTACGGAAATGGCAAAATCTTACTAATGATAATTTACAGTGAAATATTCCAAGTGAACAACAATGCACCAAAGCACATTTAAAAAATGAGAGCTGTTGATAAAATCCCTCTTAGCTAAGAATGGATTTGGCACTACAGTATGTCAACTGCTATTCTCTGAAACAATCTGCCTTGCACTCTTTGCTGATGGCTCTGTGTGACAGGATTAGACATGAATAGGATCACTGACCATGGGGAGCTTTTTCCTCCCTAAAAGGGGAAACTTGAGAGATGATGAGACAAATGGAAAAGATCCCTTTGCTACTGAAAGCAGCTACCTGAACTTTTCAGTGTCACTGTAATGGGTGGATCTTTCCTGGCTTCCCTGATTATTTCGCCTTCCTCTCTCTTGTTTAATATCCTTGGGAGCTTGACCTTATAACCATCTGACAGTATTTTCTATTAGTCTTCACCTTCCAGGGAACAGGAATTTTAGGATTTATGTCATAGTTACCTCTAAAAATGATCTTGAGTAGTTAAAAGCCTTGGCAAGTTCAAATTTAACTATTTTAGACTCTACAGAAACTGCTCTGTGCTATAGCTCAGTAACTAAGACTTTGGCTTTTCACACTGGTGGTCTGAGTTCAATTTCCCAACTAGGAAGTAAGCCCTTTTTGGTTTGCTATCTGCATAATCTTGTCTAGTCTCTTCTCCTCCACGGACTATCTTAAATTTTCCATTCTCTGAGCACCTGGAAGGTTACCTTTGGTAAAATTCAAAAGCCAGAAATATCAGCTGTTTGGTTTGGCTAAAATCGGGTAATAAGAAATTTTAAAAGGACTTAATTAAAGAGTACTTAGGTTGAAGGTCAGTCAGCTTAATTAAAAGTGGATATTTAAGCTCTAACAGCCTTGACTCTTTGAGAAAAACAAAAGACACCAGAAACCCCTTTCTTGGCCCTGTTCTTCTAAGGGCTCCACCCTGAAACCAATGTTTGGTTCCATGTTCCTGGGAAGACAGTCAAAGCTTCAGGTACATTTGGGTATTTGATGATCCATTTAAATATTTATAAAGGGATTTCATTCAACTGTCATTTGCAGTGCATGTTTTGTGGTTATATAAAACCTTTTCCATGCAAGAGCACTGATGTTATATAAGTAGATTATTATGTCACAGTATATTTTCACCAGGTAAAGAAAGCTTTTTTTAATGGCTTTCTGAGGACAATCCTTTCACAATCTAGAGCTCAAAGATGGGATCTTCTGAGAACATCAGAGAAAGACTGTTCTTGCCATCCATACTACAGCAAAACTTTGGAGACTTGAACCTTGGGTTCATAATCTTACAACTGAGAAGGGTCCCTCCACACTCCTGCAACTGTATACCCATTGGAACCCTTAAGGTAAAACTAAACGGGAAAGTTTCTCCCAGAAGAAGATGGCATCTTTGATATGAATAGCTTTTCCCAAGATCACAGATGAAGGCTTCTACTCTCACAAGACTCTTATCTTAGAATATTTTTTGATTATGCCTCTATGAACAATAGAAATTAACAGGGGATCTATTATGTGCACTTAAAGGGTATACTTTTTTTTGTGAAGGATTTTGCATCAGCCTTATGCATGAATAAACTTATGCTTTAAAAAATAAAAGATAAAGGTCGAATGTAGGTTAGAAACTTTAGTGGTACATATACTGCCTCATAATCAGTCAAAACTCTTAACCTGCATCCTAGATTAAAGAGAACATTGCCAGGAGGTCTTCAGTCTTTTAGAAGGATATCATTTGTTAGGCCCCTTCTCCATGGTTTAGAATAAAAGAGGCAATAATTAGAAATGTCTCACTCATAGTGAGTTCTACAGCAAATTCTACTTTAACGGCTATCATTAAACAACAGACATTAAATTGTCTTGTAAAAGTTATGCTAAATAATAGAATTAGCTAAACAGAAAAGTACTTGTGCAGCTACTGACACTTATGGTTTACAGAGAAATACATCAAATGTAGATTATTAAAATTCAATTGTAAGGAATTAATGAAAATACCACTTAGTCAAGTGAGTAGACACTTCAACTACCTCATCCTTTAATCTATTTGATTTTATGTGGTTTGGCTTATGGGAATCCTGGATAAGGAGCATACTCTAAACTTTTGGTATTATCCTCTCAATAGTCATAACAATCATTTCCCTGGAGTGCTGTATTCTCTCAAAGGTTTTAAATATTTGCATACAGCCATCTCTAGAACATTAAATGATTTCTCTTCCAGTGGAATGACAGAAGGTGAAAGAAATCTGTGACCAAGAGGACACCATAACTGTGAATGCCATTCTGAGACTGGAAACCCAAAATGATGGTAACTGAGACTGGTGCTAAGGCCTTAAGTTTTGGTCACAATCTCACCTAAGTGAGAACCTGGTCAACACAGTGTATTTATTATTTCTATAAAAGAGTAGACATGTGAGGGAAAGAAAGCAATTTCATAATTATGGCAATTAGTCAAAGACACATAAATTGCTGAAAACAGCTCAAGAGAAACTACTGAATCTTGGCAAAACAGTGGTGTCTGTGATGCTCTATATAAAGAGTATCATTTCACCTCCATCCATTCTCATTAGCAGAGTAACCAAAATCAGTAGCATTGCAGACAATGAAGAAATATAGCCATGCTTACAGTTTTGTAAATAGTAGCATCCACAGAGATTGCACTGGATCTGTAGATTGCTTAAGGTAATATAAAATATATAACAATATTACTTCCTTCAATCCATGAACATGGGATATCTTTCCATTATTTTGTGGGTTCTTTTTAAAATTATTTGATCAGTGTATTACTGATTTTATTATAGAGGTCTTTCATTCCTCTGATTTAATTTATTCCTAGGTAATGTACTTTTCATACTTATTATAAATGGAATTGCTTTCTGAATTTCTTTTTCAGATTGTTTGCTGCTGGCACATAGAAATGTTAATGAGTTATGTACATTGAGTTGGTATACTGTAACTTTACTAAATTTGTTTATTGGTTCTAACAATTATTCAGTGGCATTTTTAGGTTTTTTAGGTATAAGGTCATGTCTGCAAACAAGGGCAGAAACAAGAAAGACTTTGGAACTGTTAAATATATGAAAATTAAACAGCATGCTCCTGAACAACCAATGAGTTAATTTAAAAATTAAGAATAAAGTTTTAAAGAGTCTTGGAAAAAAATGAAAACAACATTCAAAAAATCTATGCAATATAACAAAAACAGTACTATGAGGAAAATTTATAGCAGTAAATGCTTACAGTATAAAAGTAAAACAGACTTCAAATACACAGTCTAACAATCTATATCAAAAAACTAAAAACAGCAATAACATTCCAAATTCAATATTAGAAAAAAAGGAATCAGAAAGCTAAGAAGAGAAATAAATAAAATAGAAACTTAAAGAATAAAAAATATCAATGGATTAAAAAGTCGCTTTTTTTAAAGATAAAGAAAATTTACAGACCTTTAGCTAGACTAAGGAAAAAAGAGGGAAGACACAAATAAATAAAATCCAAGTTAAAAATAAGACATTATATCTAGTACCAGAAAAATGCACAATATCATTAGAGACTATCATGAACAACTATACACCAAACAATTGGAACGCCTAGGAGAAATGGATACATTTGCGAACATATACAACCTATAAATAGTAAACTATGATGAAATAGAAAACTTGAACAGACTACAATGAACAATGAGATATAAGTAGTAATAAAATTTCTTCCATCAAAGAAAAGCCCAGGACCCAGTGGCTTTACTGGTAAATTCTACCAAACATTTAAAGAAGATCTAATGCCAAATATACTCCAATTGTTCCAATACAATTCAAGAGGACTACTTCCAAACTCATTCTACAAGTTTCCCTGCTACCAGAACAAGACAAGCGAACAAGAACAACAACAACAGCAAAAAACCTGCAGTCCAATATCCCTGTCGAAGATAGATGCAAAAATTCTCAACAAAATACTATAAAACTCAATTCAGCAACATATTAAAAAGATATTCAGCAGGACCAAGTGGGATTCATCTCAGGGATGCAAGGTGGGCTTTACATATAGACATTGTGAGATAATATGAAACATCACATTAACAGAATGAAGGACAAAAATCATATAATCATTTCAATACATGCCTCAAAACCATTCGATAACATTCAACATCCCTTTATAATAAAAAAAGTCTTAACATACTGCATATAGAAGAAACATATCTCAATATAGGTCCTATATGACAAGCCCACAGTTAAATTCACATTGAATGGGGGAAATTGAAACCCTTTCCCCCAAGATTTGGAACAAGACACAGATGGTCCCTTTCATTACTTTTATTCAGCATAGTACTGGAAATCTTAGCCAGAGCAATTCAACAAGAGAACTGGAACTGAAAAACGAACTGAACATATACAACCTACAAATAGTAAAGCATGATGAAATAGAAAACTTGAACAGTCCTTTCCTTTCATTTTTTACACATAGGTGGTCTTTCCTTTAATTTCACTGGAAAAGTCTCTCTTTTTTGCATCTCCAGATTTAGTATTACTTTATCCTATCATATTTTACCTTGCAATGATTCCCTACCTTTCAAGAAACTGTTAATGTGGAAGTTTTTTTTTTTTTTTTTTAACTTTTTTTTTTTTTTTTTTTTTTTTTGAGACGGAGTTTCGCTCTTGTTACCCAGACTGGAGTGCAATGGCACGATCTCGGCTCACCGCAACCTCCTCCTCCTGGGTTCAGGCAATTCTCCTGCCTCAGCCTCCTGAGTAGCTGGGACTACAGGCACGCGCCACCATGCCCAGCTGAATTTTTGTATTTTTAGTAGAGACGGGGTTTCACCATGTTGACCAGGATGGTATGGATCTCTTGACCTCGTGATCCACCCGCCTCGGCCTCTCAAAGTGCTGGGATTACAGGTGTGAGCCACCGCGCCCGGCTTTTTTTTTAACTTTCTAAGCTTTTATAGGTGTATTCATTTTATTTTTACCTAGTCAAAGGCCTTTTCACTTCTATTAATTGAGATGACCATGAATATATATATTATTCTTTTATTTTTGTCAGAATGAAAGTGCTATCCCTATACAAATTTTAAATTACATTAGTACTGTTTCTACCAACCATTTAAATTTATGAATCTGACATTTCTGAGAGTACTTTTCTGCTCATATAAGCAAATGTACTAAAAGTGGAAGTTAACGATCAACTTTGTTATGTCAAATATTGTAACATTTGTAAAAGCAACAGTAGCATCATCCACTTTGCAAAATCACAGCATGATTCAAAATTTAAGTATTGCCATTTATTTGCATTCTTTCTTCTCACCTGTTTTCTTTTTTTTTTTTTCTTTGTATGAGTAAATCTTCAGAGCAGATGGTGGAAGATTATCAATAAAAGGCGTTGTTAGACTCAGTGTGAATCCGCTAAGCTCAGTCAACACGCATTTCTTAGCCACAGGCTCATTTATTACATTCAAAACAAATCTTTTCTGTTGTAGGAACTTTCTGGGTAGAATAGCTAAATTATTTTCTTTATGGACTAAAGAGCTAAGTATTCACTTTTCTGAGATAACCACACATTATATGATGTATAAGTTATATTATTGTATACTTTTAATGTCACATTTATGTTAATGAATCATTATTTTTTCATGTGTGTTTTAGATTCATGTCTGTAAAAAGCACATTTTTTAGAAACAAAATCAGAAATTTATTTCTAACTAAAACATAAAATAACTGGGCCAAAGGTAGTTAGAAAAGACAACTCCTATAAGAAAGAGGATGGCAAATGCTGCTTTAAACAATGTATTAGCCATTTAATAGTATGTGTATTTACTGATGTTATTCCAGTATAATAAAGATATGAGTAAACCCATTTTTGCAAAAATACCATCCTTGATAAAATATTAAGTGATCTTTGAAAACATCTTTTTAAATCTTTCATTAAGACAAATGAAGAAAGTGAGAAATAGAAATAATATGTGCAATATATTTTTCCAAATATATCCTCACCAGAAAATGCTTTAGTTTTAACAAAATAGTCTCTCACATTTTTACAGTATGATTATTTCATTTGTTAATTAAATTACAGAATCACACTTTTCATGCCTGTTATTTTTACGGTGCTCCTTAGTTATGAATTAGTTATATATTTGGACAGAGCGCTGTGCCTAGCTGTGTATACCTGTTGGTAGGCAGGGGCCTATTAATGTATTCTAAGACATCATAGAATATATTAGATGGAATACTAAGTACAGTACAGTTATGGTATAATAATAGTCATATAAAAATGATATACAATTGTCAGAGTTAGTGAATGTTAGTGAATGTTAGTGAATGTTCACCAAACCAACCTTTCACCAGTGATTACTGGAAGAAGCAGTTAAACATGGAAATTAAATATGAAATATAACATGAATCTTTGTAGCATATGAAAGATGGAGTCTGAAAGTCTTATTGGTGACATACCTTTCAATTCCATTGATAGAGAATATACTTGGTAATCACTTTGGAAATATAGTTTCATTATATCTTACATAAAATAAATTGCCAGGTGTTAGAAAAGTCATGCACTTCTTCCCTACTCGATCTTCAGCCCAAACAAAGAAATGATGCAATACCTCTTTCTGTAGTAAATGTAGAATGAAAAAAGAAACACCGCTTCTCTGTGTTATCTCCAGATAACTCTGATGAGGCTGCCCACAGAAAGTTTCTAGTAACCTTAAATCACTTTGGGGAGTACTTGTGTTTACTCAATTTTGTGAGACCTTTAAGAATTCCTGAGGGTGTGTAGCTTTCATTCTTGTCATTTTGAATACAAATTGTTACAAAACAAAGAATAATCATAATCAGCTTCTTTTGAGTTACAGACACAAGTATTTGCATTCATTTTATGCTATTTATGAAACACCTTTATGCAAGCTTCTGTATCTTCTACTTTAAAACAAGGAAAACACCAATTTCTCTGCAACTTTATGAGGGTTACATGAATTAAATAAGGTGGCAAGCACTCAGTAAGTATTCAGTATATAGGGTTCTAAATTTATTTTATTTTTAGGGGGTATAATTTTAAATATGAAGGACAATGATTGTAGAAGTATTAAAAAAAATCCAGAGTTTATTTTTAATAACTTTAGATGTAGCAGAATGTCTTTATACAATTTGGAAAAAAGAGAAATATTATCAATGTGATTATTAGAAAAGCATTTGTATTTTAAAAATGCTTAGCAGTTTAACTTCACAAAGAGACTATAATCATGCATATGAGAAAACCTTCCATGTTAAGCCAAGATGACTAGAAAAAGAGCTATCCCATTCACAGTCCTGCTAAGTGTTACAAAATTTAATGATGAGAAAACACATTCATTTCAAAGTCTAGTTCCATCAATTTATTCATAGCCATGTAAAACAGAACTCTTTTACAGTGATCAACACTTGTTGAGAAATGTCCTTGAATATTTGAGACATTTGAGACATACTCGATATTTGAACATATGAGATATATCAAGAGATAAAAGTGAGTCTGAAAGACTAAAAGCTGCTCTAGAAAAAGAGGTAGAAGCTCTACAGGGAATCAAAAAACTGTATTACTAGATAAGGAAGAATTAAAGAAAAAAAATGTTCCTATGATCATTCTGATGTTCAAAGTGTAATAGTGGTAATTTGCAGAAGACTGAATACATAAAATAAGAGAAGAATATTTCAAACATCAGAGACAATAAGAAAGGGAAAAAAAACTCCCAACATTTTAGTTGAGCATATTGGTGCCCATCCAAGTGAATAAAGTTTGCCAGTGAAGAAGTGGGAAAAGATATTAAGTAGATAACTGTTAATAGCAATGTGTACAATACTCCGATCTCCCAATAATGTGATCTTCCTTTTGAGATGACCTGAGAATGCTAAAATATACAAGATGTGTATGTACCTCATGCGTATCAACAGTGTAAAAAAATAAGAAAACTACTTTTCTAGCCAAATAGTCTACTCCTAGTCCCTCCTAATGAACATAAGTCTTATGAATATTTAAATGGCTTCAATAAGAAATAAAGATACAAAAATTAATGAACCATAAGTAATGACAAAAGAAATATCTGGTACAGTTGCAAAGAAAGGAAGATAATAGCATAATGAATCTTTATTAGTCCAGACAATATGTTAGGTGCTTTCTTATGTATTATCACATCATAGTAACTCTGAAAAACTAACTCTAAGTGTTTATCTAGATTATAGAGACAAGGAATTGAGAATCAGAAAATAAGTCTTTAAGAAAAAACTGTAGTGAACAGTGGAGCTGGGAAGGAAGTCTAAATCTGAATGTTTACATGCTACTCTTTTATGGTATCTCCATGAGGATCTGGAAAATAAATACACAGAAAACTCCCAAGTCCCAAAAAAGATGCTTCCATAATGTAGAGATTATAGATAAGTATGAGTATATTCACAAACTAGTAAAACACTGACTCAGATGTATTAGCTCTTTAAATTAGCCCCTTAAAGATATTTATTATAAGTAATTTGTCAAAATAGTAGCTCATTTTATTTAAGCAAGGGTGCTTTAATGAAATTTGTTCTGACAGAGCCTTTGAAGTGAATTTAGTTTTCATGTTAAGTGTGAGACTTGACAGGCATAGAGACACAAGTCTTCTATTCCTTTGTAGATAATGAAACTAGGGAATGACATTACACTAATCAAAAACAGAACTTCATTAAAGCTGTAGTCATCATCCATGGTGATTATAAAGTGTGATAAATGACACTCAAGCAAATTATGTATCTTGAAATTGACACACAATAACACTAAGATCAATTACATCATTGGACAGCTCAAGATGATATCAAATACTGTGATAAGGGCATAATCTAAAGATTATCATTTACAAGAGACTGAATTACTACATTCTTTTAATATCAATAGATTAACAGCATGATACAATCACATCATTTTCAAAACCAGAAAACCATTTGAACATTCTAAAAAAACTTCTTGCAGAACTGCTCACAGAGTTGACTTCTAATTGGCTAAATTTCAGTGAGTGTCCTAATTGGCTGGCTCCAGATATGCTTTAATGACAATATAATCTTGCAAAAAAAAAAAAAAAAAAAAAAAAAAAAAAAAACCCTGCTTATATATAGCAAACAATTTGCTTTCATATATTTCACAAGCTAATTACCCATAATCATTTGGCTCATTTGCTTATACACATTTTTGCTTATGCCTGGATGTCAGCAAGGAAAAATACAAAGAAAACAGATTTTTTTCTTGTTCATTTTTCCATGTAAGCATAGACATCTGCAGCACAGTACTGACAAAAACACCAAACATACCAGAGTGAAGCGGAAGATACGCTTCCTTGAGAATGTTGAACTAAACAAGAAGAGCATTGGATTCTTGCAACTGGAACAACAATCCTTCTACTCCTATTCCTCTTTTTCCTTCTTTCTTCATTTATCTTCTTCCCTCTTTTTTCTTCTTCTTTCTCCCCCTTCTTCTCCTCCTTCTTTTAACTTATAATTACTATACTTTAGATATTAGAGAGATGTGAGTTGGTCCTATTAGAATAGTTTTTTTAAAGTATTAATGTCCTTATATAATATTATAGGGTTACGTTTTCATTGGTTCTTAATAGTATGCACATTCAAAGTACACACAGAGAAACACATGGCAATTTAATCTATTCACCATGATTCTTTGAGTGTCAACTATTAAATTCCTCAAAGTAATTCCTAGACACTGAATCATAATGTTTGATCCTCTACATTCTCATGTAATCCACTTGTAGTAGGAAAAGATTATTGGGACAGTATGATTTGGATAAGCAATAGCTTTAAGGATGCAATTTCTTAACCTCTCTGCTTGTAAGATGTTGGTCTTTGTGAATAATGAGAGGGAAGGATATATAAATAATGAGAGACAGCCTTATAAGTAGAACTTGATCTGAAAGACACTTACTTTTTCTGGATAAAGCTACACTAATTTTTCTAACTTCTTAAAACACTCTTTGAAACTATCAAGGAGGCATCATTATCACTCTGGTCAATGTCCAGGATAACACATAATAAAACTATTTTAGCTTAATTAAATAAAAAATATTTCCTAATTGAATCGATAAAATGAAATGAAATATGAATGTCAACAAGTTCGACCACCTAAGTGCTATGCTTACAGTATTCAGAGTTTTTACATAGCTTCTGCATTAAATGTTGCCAATGAAGGAGCACTCGTCACCTTGCTGTCTTTTCCACATGACAGCCTTATAAATATTGAAAGACCCTTATCATGTTTCCGCAAAACTTCACTTTCCAGCCAATGCATACACAATTTCTTCAAAATTATAAAGGTATTGCTGAAAGAGTTATGTTTGACATATTCCAAATTCAGAGGATAACAACCTCAGTACAGGTTTTAGAAAACTGTTAAGATAATACAGCTTGGTCAAGATTTGCAAGTTTTAAAAATGTGGTATATTTTTAAATTGTTCAAGAGTAATAACATATTTTTACTTTCAAGAATTTAGTTTAAGCCTTTCCTTATGCTATAAAGGTTCTTTTTGTATTTCATATTTAAAAGGCTTATTTTGTTTGCTTGAACATATAAATTAAGATGTACTGTAAAATAATTTTTATTTTTATGGATGATTCCATTTAGCTCCAGGAAACAAGAAAGTATTCTTATAGCAAAAGTTTATAAATATTAAGCTTCTTCTGTTATTATATTTGATATCTGCTGACCTAAAATTTTAGGAATTTGGACAGCATTGTTAGCCTATGTGTTAAGGAGTTTAAATGATTTCTTAAATAACCAGACTTATTTAAATATGGTTTTTAACATCAAGTCTCTTACAAAATCCATGACTAATATGTTATTCACATTCTCCTTATCCATCTTGGAATATAAGACAACTCTGATGTGAACAGCTGTACTATAGTTTGTCAAATTAAAAATTGTGCTGAAGCAGATTTTACCTCACTCCCAGAATTTCTATTTCTGTACGTTTTACTTCGTTAGCAGCTTAGGATGTTAGATGAGTTGGAAATGGGACAACAGCTATCTAAACAGCAGGTCCAAGTAGTAGGTTGAGTTCAGGAAAAAGTTGTGTGTGTAACACATATGTAGGGGATGACAACTAGAACCGAGTGGGCAGCTCTTCCATTTTTTTTCATAACAACAGAAGATTTTGCCAAATCTGCTTCTCTCTGATAGTAATAATAGAAAGCAGAGAGAAATAGAAATACTATCTAAAGGAAATGGAAAAAATATGAAGATTCTGTTGCCCTTTTCTCTCTCTCTTTTTTTGAATTTTTTTATTTTTGAGAGTGAGTCTTACTGTCATCCAGGCAGGAGTGCAATGGCATGATCTCACCTCACTGTAACCTCCGCCACCCGGGTTCAAGGAATTCTCCTGCCTCAGCCTCGTGAGTAGCTAGGATTACAGGCACCCACCACCATTCCCAGTTAATTTTTGTATTTTTAGTAGAGATGGGGTTTCACCTTGTTGGTCAGGCTGGTCTTGAACTCCTGATCTCAGGTGATTTGCCTGCCTCATACGTTAGTTAAAGAAAATAAAGAAACCAATTTACCTGGCACATCTGAATCCAGAGTAGAAATCTGAGAGCTCACTAGGAGCCTACCTGGAAGATTAGGGGGAGGCAAGGGAAACTTTACATTCACATTCATATTTTCTTTATTGTCACTTTCTAGATTTTCCAAAGTAACTACAAAAATTGTACCTTTTATTAAAAAATTTAAAAATAGGTATTTACATATATGGAGATCCAAGCTTTAAGTATCCAATATATTTGTAAATTGATGGATTTATGAAAAAATTAACCAAAAGCAAGACAAGCAGCAGGTCTCCTTCAATTCCAGGAAATGTTAATTCTTCCTATGTGATCTCTGCATATTTTTCTATTTATTTATCTACTATCCAGCAGCATGAGTTCAAAGTTAAATAAAAGTAACTGGAAATGTGGTCATTATCCATTTCTATGAAGAGTTGACATCAGCTGAGTCTTTTAGAGAAGGCTAGCATTTAAATAACTAACTATAACGTATTAGGCCAATATCCTTGGTCATAATATCATCTTAAACAGAACACTCGCACATGCACACGCGTGCGCGCGCACACACACATACACACACACACCCCACTCATCTGTGGGGAAAACAATTCTTCTGAGAGATAATTATTAAAGAAATTATTTCTTAGAAGAATATACCACTGGTTAATAAGGTAAATAAGAAAATATGTTACAGGTAAGGTAAATAAGGAAATTTACAAGGTAAGTAAGAAAACATGTCACAGTTGCAGCCAGACCTGGTACTATAGATATTATTATGTATAGAAAAAGTATTTGAATAATTTATTGATACATACTTGAAAATAAACATTTGTCAAGACAGAACTCTGAAACTGTTAAAATATATCCCATTACATATTATGTTTGCATGTGTGTGCATGCGTGTGTGTGTGTTTAAATTCTGTTATGTTAGTAGAGACTATTGTTCTAGAATTTTAAAGGAATTCAATTTCCAGTTAACTCAAAAAGCAATTATTCCTCTAGTATGAGACTAGCCTGGTGTTAAGTGATGGACTGCCAAAGCCTAGG